TTGTGTTTATCACGCGTCCGTCGCTAAAGGTACAATTTGGCTGCACGCGACAGAGACAAGCGACCGAGGCAAGCGACAGAGACGGGAGACGGACACATCGCAGCTTGTCGCCACACACTTTTGAGGTGACGACCGAGACATGCGGCAAAGTGTTTGTTTTCTTTGTTTTGTTGAGACATACGTGCACATATTCTGTGAAAAATGAGTACAAAAATGCTTCTAAAAAGGTTACTCGAAGAATAAGAAGAAGAAGATGATGTGTTGCTGTGTTATTTGTTGCGAAAGAAACAAAGAAAACCTACGAGTTCAATATTCAAAACCAGACGTGAAGAAGGATCTTTCTGTCTGTTAATAAAGAATCATTTATCATTTTCTGCTACTAATTCTACCAATTGCTCATCTTGGTCACCAGTAAATGTAATTTCTGCCATTATTTTACTCAACAACACACGTGCTGCCTGAGCCCGTCGCGAGACACTACTGGTCCGAGAGCGGTCTCCTGTGCTTTGTCTCTGTCGCCTGTCTTTGTCTCGCGCTCGTAATTGTACTTCATACGATTGTACAGAGAGCAGACAGGAAGCGACCAGTCTCGGTCTCGCAATTCTGTCGCCTGCCTCGGTCCCTTGTCTCTGTCGCGTGCAGCCAAATTGTACCTTTATGCATGAGAAGACGTCAAACACATCGAAATGCTGTTCGATTGATCGTCAGAATAACAAACCACATTCTTTTGTATTCTCCGTATTTGGTCCGCAGTGCTGTAGACGGGATACTGTAGTATTTGAGCGACTGTAGTCGGCTGGGTTCGTGTCGGTGGTCGGTCGATTCGACTTGCAACATTACGATAGCCGCGTATCTTAACTGCGTGGGCCGGCTTATGGGAGGGAACGTAAGATGCAACGCAGGCAATTCCATCAAAACGGGAAAACATGTGAGGGCGACGTGACAAAACGATACAAACTGATAGCAGCCTCCCGAAAGGTATTGCAAATATCCACATTAGTACTGTATTTATACTTATCAACTCCACACGGATGAGAACGGACACTTGCAAAAATTCACGACGAGGATGGGACTCGAACCCACGCGTGCAGAGCACATTGGATTAGCAGTCCAACGCCTTAACCACTCGGCCACCTCGTCATGTAATATATACGAGGGGTATATCGAATGATAAGTACATTTGAAGCCGATAATACGTAATCGATTCAGATGTCAATCAACATTCGACGCTGAACAAACTGAAGATATTATGCATCTAATTATTATTTGGATAATGTAGAAAAGCGGTTATGGTATATTTCAAGGTACTTTTTACTAGGCTACACTATAAAGCCTGATTTTAAGTTCGTAATTCCGTTTGTCACTCACAGATTCTGTTTACGGATTTCAATTTGGTTCTGAGGACAACTAACGGATATTTTCCTGAATGTTTGATTTTGAGCATAAATTTTGAAGCTCATTTTATCTAGTTTCTTCGATCCACGTTGTACTTCGTCTTCCTTGTGTCAAAATACGAGGTGCGATCGGAAAGTTTCAAGACTGTGTCAATAGCGGGCGAACCGGATGTAGTACGAGCTTCTGCCTTTAGGGGGTGCGGCCTACATTCATAGTGAATCAGTGTGCCAGCCGGCATCATCGAATTAGCATTTGTTTCTTAGTTACGGGCGTTTTGGTAGTGCATTACACCGACCCTCCTGCGATTTCGGAATGGCGTGTGCATCAAATTTTGCCAAAGACTCGCCAAAACGGCTACGGAAACCTATGAAATGCTAAAGCAAGCATTTGGGGAGTCCGCAATGGGTCGTGCACAAACTTTTGTGTGGCATTCACGTTTTAAAAATGGCCGAACCTCTGTCGATGATGACGAGCGTTCGGGACGACCATCTTCGAGCACAACGCCCGAAAATGTTACGAAGATTCGGCAGGCCATTCACGAAGATCGACGTCGTACCATCAACGACTTGTGCGACATTGTTGGAATAGGCTATGGGACCTGTCAGCTGATTCTAAAGGAAGAACTCCACATGCGACGCATCATGACAACGCGCCAGCGCCCACCGCCCTCAAAGTTCGGCAGTTTTTGGCCTCAAACACCATGGCCGTCATCCCGCACCCTCCTTATTCGCCGTGTGACTTCTTCCTCTTCCCAAAGATGAAAATTCAGCTAAAGGGAAGGAGATTTGAGACGATAGAAGAGATTCAGGCAGAATCGGAGATGGTGCTTGACAGGCTGACAAAGAAAGATTTCCAGGGATGCTTTCAGGCTTGGCAGCGGCGCTGGGATCGTTGTGTCCACTCCCAGGGGAACTACTTCGAGGGTGATGGATGAATTTAATACCTGAGATAAGTGTACGGGTTTTTATACGCGCAGTCTGGAAACTTTCCGATCGCACCTCGTATATTTTTGGAACAGATATAAAACACCAAATACTTTCTGCCCTCCTGTCCTGTCCCAATCTGCGCGGTGTTAACTTTTGCACTATCCAGCTACTTGAGTTTTCGTAAGCCCATTTATATTACGCAACTGAATTAAGGTCCGGGTAATGATGTTAAATCCTTCTGCGGACAGAAACGGCGCTGGACTGGATTTAAAGGTGATGATGAAACCTCGCAATATGAACAATAGGAGGTCAAATTGCGCAATTATTGTGGTAAGACCTCAATGTTGACATGACTTGTAGGCCAATAAGTGTCAATACATTATTATTATGTACCGGTCACGAACACAATATTGGCCTTAACTCCCCCCTTCCCCCAAACAGTACACGATCGATCTGCGAGTCCTGAACTGTTGTAAAACTGAATCATCCTTACAAGCTCTTTGAAGCCGAAGCTCGTTTCAGTCAAATCTAAGGCGGTTAACGCACTAATCAGTCATAAGTATAATCCCATAAGGCCCGAAGTCCCCTAAAAAACATTTACATGGCAACAGTTATGATAAGTACATTACAGACATTACCCACAAGATCCTAAATCCCTTAATAAGAAAATTGTCACCAACCAATATTTGTTTATTGTACAGAGAAGATTCAGACCGTACCTCAAAGAAAACACAACTGTTTGCCGTAAGAACTATTTGAAACAAATAAAAACTTTTGCGTGCACAAAAATCTAGAGTAACTGTTAATTAAACCGGATGATACATGCAGTAGCCACCGGTTTGGTGTAGTATTCTGATTCATTAGGCGATGTATTTGTTTTATTAAGAATTAACTGAAAAAAGGCTTCTTGAAATTAATTTCTTATTTATTTCTTTATTTCTTTTCATAAGATGGTATAGTTGCCTCATATTGTGAAGATATATATTTAATTAATTATTATTGTCCGTCTAATCACAATTTAAATTTAAAATTAAGATAATTAAAATATCATGTGATGTTCCTTATCGAAACATTCGATTTACATTTAGAACATCTTTTTCTTACGACATGTTTCGGTTCTTAAATGAACCATCTTCAGGTATATAAAAATTAAAATTATAATTTATATTTATAAAAAGTTGCATATAAGAAATTACGATTAAGTTTTAAGTTTATATAATTTTAATTTTTATATACCTGAAGATGGTTCATTTAAGAACCGAAACATGTCGTAAGAAAAAGATGTTCTAAATGTAAATCGAATGTTTCGATGAGGACCATCACATGATATTTTAATTATCTTAATTTTAAATTTAAATTGTGATTAGACGGACAAGAATAATTAATTAAATTTATTTCTTTTGTATATTCATTCATTGCCCGTTTCTCCCGTATTCCTCTCCCGTCCATTTCAACTTTGAAGAAACGTGAAAAATACACGTGTTAAGTAATGCTTTATTTTCAAGTTTTCCGTCACCAAAATTAGAAGTACATCTAAAAGTTGCCGAATGGTATCAGCGCTTGTAACATAGAATAATTTTGCCATTTAGCGTCATTAATGAGAATTTTCATGCCGCTGTGAAAGTTTTTCTCTCGGTCCACGCCCATTTAAAACTCTTCTGAGTGTAAATAATTAAAATTCAGACCAAGATTTCTCCTTGGTTTAAACATTAAAGATACTTGCATCCACCTCCCATACCAACACCCTATATCTCGAATACATCTTAATCTTACCCACTGTATGTTTTTCGATCATCATTGTGGCCACTTGCTAAGGGGTTTCCACATCAGAATTCTGAATATATTTCTTGTTGCCCACATCCACTCTGAATATACGCTTCATCGAAACCTTTTATATTTCACATCGTTAACTATATAACTTAATTTTTATATCTTATACTTGAGATGGTAAAGTTGCGTCATATTGTGATATAATAAATAATTGTTTAAATCTTGTCCGTCTAATCACAATAAACTCTTATTAAATATTAAAATATTACAATAATTAACATTTAAAATATTTAAAATATTAAATGATGTTCTTTATCGAAATA